CACGCAACGTGAAGGAGGTTCAACGGTTGACGGGCCGCCTGGCCGCCCTCAACCGCTTTCTATCTAAATCAGCGGAGAAGTCTCTACCCTTCTTCCAGATCATGAGGAAGACGGCTGGCTTTCTATGGACTCCAGAATGCCAGGGGGCTTTCGACGAGCTCAAACGGTATCTATCTTCACCCCCTGTGTTATCCAAACCAAAGGTAGGGGAAACCCTCTATCTCTACCTTGGGGTCAGCCCGGCGGCCATCAGCTCTGTGCTCATCCGGGAGGAAGACGGCATCCAACATGCCATCTTCTACTACGTTAGCAAGACTCTAAGGGAGGCCGAACTCAGGTACTCTCCTGTGGAGAAAACGGTGTTGGCCATCGTTTGGACCGTCAAGAAGTTGGGCCACTACTTTCAGGCTCACCCGGTTCAGGTCCTCACCCATCAACCCCTCGGCGCCCTCATGAGGAGCCCCACCAGCTCCTCCCGCATGGTGAAATGGGCTATCTTCTTGAGCCAGTACAACATTGACATCCGTCCAAGGCCTGCCATCAAGGGCCAAGCCCTGGCGGACTTTGTGACGGAGTGTACCGCAAGGGCAGCCACGGACGGGGAGCCCTCGGCCACCTCGGACGACTGGTGGACCCTCTACACCGACGGCTCCTCCGCGACCAAAGCATGCGGGGGAGGGGTAGTCCTCATTACTCCCGAGGGCTTCAGAGCCTACTATGCAATCCGTTTCTCCTTCAAAGTCTCCAACAACGAGGCCGAATATGAGGCCCTCCTATGTGGCCTTCGGCTGGCTGCCAACATGAGGGCTCGGCAGATCCACATCAAATGCGACTCCAAGTTGGTCGTTGGCCAAATCTCCGAGGAATATGAGGCCAAGGAGGGAAGAATGAAACAATACAAGGAAGCGGCCAAGGAGTTGCTTAAGGTATTTGAGGCACACTCTCTCACTCAAATACCGAGGGCTCAGAACTCCGAGGCCGACATATTATCTAAGCTCTCGGCCGACTCCCCCGAGCACATCTCCAAAATTGGCAAGATTGAGGAACTCGGCCTCTCAAGCATCCATGCAAGCCCCGTTATGAACATACAACAACGCCAAGAGGATTGGATCTCAGATATCACCGCCTTCATCTCCACAGGGCAGCTACCCGAGAATGAGACCCGTGCTAAACTGGCGAAGCTGAGGGCTCCTAGCTACACCATCGAAGATGGAAGGCTCTACAAACGATCTTACAATGGCACGCTACTTCGGTGCCTTCATCAAGATGAAGCCGAGGTCGCAATGGAGGAAGTGCACAGTGGCACTTGCTCAGCTCACCAGGGACCCTTCTCCATGTCCCGAAGGCTCATTCTCCAGGGCTACTTCTGGCCAACCATGGCCAGAGATTGTGCTGACCTTGCCCGGAGGTGCACCGCATGTCAACATTTCCAGAAAGCCCCCGGCAGGCCAGCGGTCAACTATGCCCCCATCAGCACATCCGTCCCCTTTTCTCGATGGGGGATAGACCTTGTGGGCCCTCTGCCGAGGGGTACCTCAAACAACAGATACATCATTGTGGCCATCGACTACTTCACCAAGTGGGTGGAGGCTGAACCCCTCGCCAGCATCACAGAGGCGAAGTGCCGTCACTTCGTCCTCAAGAACATCCTCACAAGGTTTGGCGTCCCCCAGCAGATCATCTCCGACAATGGGACACAATTTGAGGCAGCCCCCTTCTGTGCCCTTCTGCAGGCATGGGGCATCAAACACACTTTCTCCTCCGTTGCCTACCCTCAAGGCAACGGGCAAGTAGAGAATGCCAACCGGACCTTGCTCGAGGGCCTCAAAAAGAAGCTGGAGGCCGAGGGCGGTGGCTGGGTGGAAGAACTCCACAACATCCTGTGGGCCTACCGCACCACCCCTCGGCGAGTAACGGGTGAAACACCCTTCTCCCTATGCTACGGTTTTGAAGCCAAAGCTCCTACGGAAGTCACCCTTCCCACCCGACGGGTGGTCCAATATGACCCCGAGGTCAACGACAGCAACATGGCCCTCGACCTCCACCTCATTTCAGAACGCCGGGAGCAGGCCTTCATCCGGGCAGAAAATTACCGAAGGCAAGTCAAAAGCTACATCAACGCCAAAGTTCGCACCAGAGAATTCCAAGTGGGGGACTATGTCCTCCGGAGGAGGGAAGCCAGCCAACCAACCGAGGGAGGAAAAATGGAACCAAAATTCGAAGGCCCCTACATCATAGCAGCCATCATCAAACCTGGGACTTACAAGCTAAAACGCCCCAACGGGAAAGAGGTCCCTAGGCACTGGAATGTACACCATTTAGTTAAATTTTACCAATAATGTATGAGCGGCCAAGCCCTCATAACTAATGAATGTACTACCCTTTGGCCCAAGGCCTCCACCTTTGAGGAATGAAGACACATTCAAGACACCACGCCCTCATACTACGAGAACAACCCCTTCCGGCACCAAGTTCCGAGGGCGGACACCATCAACACCTACAACAACAGGAGAACACCATGTGTCCTCGAACAAGACCCCTCGGTACCAAGTACCAGGGGAGGGAACTCCTATCACCAACAACAAGGAACGCCATGTGTTTCATTTCCCTTCGGCACCCAGTGCCGAGGGTACATCCCCACCTCCAACATCAAAAAAGAAAAATAAGAACACCAAGTGTTCCTGTAGAAGACCCTTCGGCACCAGTGCCGAGGGTACACCTCCATCATCAAATATCGAAACGAAGAAAAACACCAAATGTTTCAAAGAAGACCCCTCGGCACCCAGTGCCAGGGATATGCTCTCCTATCAGCTTCCAAACATCTGTTGGGAAACACCAAGTGTTTCCTCCGAGGGCCCCTCCGGCACCAAACACTACAATCAGAACACCAAGTGTTCCTACAGAAGACCCCTCGGTACCAAGTACCGGGGGGCTACATATCGAAACTAACACCAAGTGTTGTTTCTAAAAGCCGTACCCCACGAGGACGCATATACCGAAGGCGCCACCATCGGTGCCGGCGGCACGTAGTGCCCCCGGCCATTTGCAACTAGTGTGCAAATGAAAACCCTTCCTTGAAACGCTTTCTGCGTCACTACCCCCAGGGTATGACAGGCATGAGAAATGCCCAGGATTCGACTTTCAAAAACGGAACGCTATCCGCGTAATCACCCCAAGGGTATGACAGGCACGAGAAATGCCCAGGATTCGACTTCCAAACCGAAACGCTCCCCGCGCCACCCCCCCAAGGGTGTGGCAGGCCACGGACTATGTCTAGCGCCGAGGGGACGACTTTCAAAAATGAGGCGTTTTCCGCGCCATCCCCCAAGGGGAGGCAGGTTACAGACCACCATATCTTGTGCCCAGGAAACGACCCTCGATCCCCTCGGAACTCGGAAGGTTAACCCGAGGGAGGAGAGCCATTGGTGTATTCTGATGGTCTCCTAATAGGCCCAGCCTTACCAAGAAACCAAGTTTCTTGATGCCTTCCCTTCACCACCAACCAAAAAAAGGGGGGGGGGGGTGAAGGGGAGTAGACTCAGCGAGAAATCAAAGAGTACACTCCAACAGATCACAACATGCCGAGGGCTCCCCACGGGGACACCTCCGGTAATTGAAGGCTCCTATTTCCCGAAGGATACTACTCAAACAAATATCATCAAGAAACGGCTAAGTCCACTGCTTGGTCACCTCCGGTCACACAAGCACCGAAGGCTTCAGCAATACGAAGAGACTGGATTATCCAAAGTCTACTAAACGGTAATTCAAACAAATACCGAGGGCATCTGTTACGCACTAATACCGAGGGTCCTTACCCCATGACAAGGGTCAAACTCTACAACTTTTAAAGTTGTATGCCGAGGGCACACACTCCTCATTGGTTTTCTTCACAACAACAGGATTCCACACATATTTGGCCCTCGGCCAGAGACTCATACAACACAAGGGATCTACATCCGGAAGCTCAACATCAATTTACGCTTAGAAAATATTCTAAGTCCTAAATGAGTAGCCCCCGGGTATCTCGCAAAGTAATGTAGAGTCAGAGGGCACCTATCACCCGAAGGCTACACAAGGAAGCAGCACTTGAAAAAATTCTAAGTCCTAAAGAGGGGCCCCCGGCCCAATCAATATTACAGATAAATGAATATGACAGATGAAGGCTATGCATCAAGAAGGGATGCCATCTCCCGAAGGCTCCCGAGGGAAAATCTACACTTAGAAGATTTTCTGAGTTCCACATATTTTTCCCCCGGTCAACTACTCATACATCAAGAAGGGATGCCATCTCCCGAAGGCTCCCGAGGGAAAAGCCACGCTTAGAAAATTTTCTAAGTCCTGCATGTTCCCCCCCCCCCCCCCCGGTCAACTACTCATACATCATGAAGGGATGCCATCTCCCGAAGGCTCCCAAGGGAAACTCTACACTTAGAAGATTTTCTAAGTCCTACATATTTCACCCTCATCTCAAGGGACCTAATTGCCGAAGGCTATCTATCAATCGAAGGCTACAGTACACAAGGAATCAACACTGAAGAAAATTTTCTAAGTCCTAAAGAATTGGCCCCCGGCCTAATCAATATTTCAGTTGGGGCTCCACAGTAGCCGAAGGCTACGTGACATACTACACTTGCAAAAAATTTCTAAGTCCTATACATTGGGCCCTCGGTCCAATATTCACACATCAGGAAGGGATGCCATCTCCCGAAGGCTCCCAAGGGAAAATCTACACTTAGAAATTTTTCTAAGTCCTAGGAATTGGGTTACTACAAGCACCCGAAGGCCCTATGGTGTGCTACACTTAGAAAATTTTCTAAGTCCTAATTACTGCTGAACCCTCGGTCGCATATCCAGCAGAGGGTGCCCAACTACCGAAGGCTTCCAAGGGCAAGCTACAATCAGAAAATATTCTAAGTCTTAAAACATACATTCAAAGGAGCAAAGGCATACATCCAAAGCAAGACGAAGGCTTATATTCGACAATGAACAAATCAAAAGGAAGCATATTGTATATCAAAGGCCCGAGGGCATATGTACTCATTCATTCAAAAAAAAGGAAGTTTGATTGTGCTTTACAAAGGGGGCCGAGGCCAACAATTACAACACAAAAGGGGGGAATACAATTCAAGAAGGGGGGACTGTAGATATTGCCTCGCTCTCGGCTTCATCCTCTTCACCCCCAAGGCCGCACTCCCGGAGGGTCTCCGAGTCTTCAAGAACTGGTCTCTCTTCCCCCTCGGGGAGCGGGATCCTGACATCTGGCTGGGGGGAGGCCATAAGCCTCAGGACGGAACTCCTCCGGTGCCACCTGAAAGTGCTTCGCAAGCTTCCGGTAGATGAGGCGTTGGGTGAAGAACTCCCCGCCTTGGTAGTACGAGTCGCCCCTCTCAGCAAGCCACATCTTTCCGGGGCCTCCGACCCACTCGTCTACTGAAGCCCCCACCACCGAAGCGAGCCACTCCCTCCGGTCTTCGGCCTTCCACCCCTCGGCTGTGAAGCTGGTCACCGCATCCTCTCGGGCCTTGGAGACGGCCTCTTCTTGAGCCGCGCGGGCTTCATCAGCAGCAATGCGGGCGGCCTCGGCGGCGGCCTCCCCGGCCCTGGCCAGTCCCTCATTAACCCCTTCGGCCCTGGCAGCCTGCACCCTCTGCTCTATGCCGTCGGAGGCCAGACGAAGAGAGTCCTCGGCTTCAGCAAGCTTCTTCCTGAGGAGGGCGGCCTCCCCCTCGGCTACACCCTTGGCCTCCCTCATTTGATCCACCCTCCGGAGGTGCTCGCAGAGGCCCATAAAGCTCTGCAATTCACGAAGGCAAGAATAAGGCACAACGAACATAGTACAGAAGGAAAGCACAACAATGAACAAAGAAGGGGGGTGACTTACGGAGGCAGCATTCAGGAGGACCTTCGCCTCGAGGGATCCCTCGTCCAACCGGGCAAGGGCTAGTCGGTCGGCCGACGGCAGCATCTGGCTTATCAGAGCCGAAGGGTTCAGACTGCCCTCCAACACGGAGGCTCCCTTCGGTACTAACGCCTCCAACCTCTCCCGCCCGAAGAACTCCTGATTGATTTGTTCCTGGGGGGTGGAGGCAGAGGCGTGCCCTTCGTCAACGATCACCACCACATCGGTGATCGGCTGTTTGGTAGGGGCGGTAGTCTTCGGCTTCTTGGCTGGGGGCTCGGTCCCCTTGCCGGCGTTCTTCTTTTTTACGGGCCCGGCACCCTTGGACCCTCCGGCGCCAGCGGTGGCGACAGCAGTTTGAGAGGGCCCCTCCCTCGCAGAAGCGCCCCCCGGGGCCTTCTTCTTCCCTTTCGCGTTCTTCAGAGCGAAGAGGGAACCGACGTCCATATTGTTACCTGCAAGCAACAAAAAGAAAACACAAGAGGGTTAGATCGAAGGCTATCAGTTACTACGTCATAAAAAAAAGGGGAATAAGAGAGAACTATCAACGCATCAGTGAACCATTCGGTGATCACCTCCAGCTCCTTCGAAGACTCGATCGAGGGGAGGGTATCTTTCATCCGAAGAGCCCCTCGGCCTGAACTGCCGGAAGCCCAAGCTGAGCAGTTCCTCTGGAAGGGTGACGTCTCTGATCTTGACGTGCTTGTCAGACCCCTCCGGCTTCCTGGCAAGCACTTTGCCATTCTTCTCCAGAGCTGCGCTCCCCACCTTCTAATGGCGTCGGAAGCTATTGCGGAGTTGGGCCGGGAAGGGGTTCTCTTTGAGGCGAATGTAGCAGAACCTCTCCTTCCACCCCTTGTGGGACGAGGGCACATCATCAAAAAGCCGGAACTCCGGTACCTGCTGAAGGTTGGCAAAGCCCTCAGCATTTGAATGTCCCCCCGGCAGAGGTTGAAGGACATGAAGAATTGATCAAGTGTGGGCTCGACCCCCCGGCTCTGATACAAGGAGAGGAAGCCGGCCACATAGGAGTTGTTGTTGGGCGTTAGCTGGCAGGGGGCCAACCCCACAAACCTCAGATACTCCAAGAGAAAAGGATGGAGCGGGAACCAAAGCCCCATCTCCACCGAGAGGGTGTGAGCAGCAAAACACCCCTCGGGCGCATATCGCAGCAAATCATCCGCCCTGGGCTCCACCACGCGCGCCGAAGGGCCAACCAGCATCTGGGTGGACTGGTATTCTGCCGGGGACGCCTTCGTCTTCAGCTCTAGAGAGGCAGTATTCAAGAACGAATGGCCCTCGGGTATGCCCATCGGTCGCCCTGCATCCACTGCCGCTTGCTTCTTCCTCGGGGCCGCCTTCATCTTGTTTTTCTTCCCGGGAGCCACACTGATGGGCGTCGGGTCCAATGTCCGGGAGGAGCTGGCTTCCCCGGCACCCCGGGGGGAGGAATGGCAACCGTCACCTTCAGCCTCTCCCTCTCCTCTTCTTGCTCGGCGGTCTGCACGGCGAGGGCAAGCTCTTCGTCCTCGTTTTCTTGTTCGAAGCCCTCGGCTTCGACTTCGGCCTGGAGGTCCTTCTCCACTTCCATGGCCACTGCGGCATCACCACCCGCCGAGGACTCCACGCTCGACGACTCCACATCTGAGCATGTCTCCATCTCTACCGAAGGCTCCCCCGAGATATCCTGGGAGTCTCTCTGTGATGACATCTGCTCACTAATTCGAAGGCTCGGGAAAACTAGGGTTTCCTAGAAAATTCTATCTCCTAACCTAGGGGCACAAGGCACAGCTAAACTAGAAGGAGAAAGGCAGGGGGGAACTGACCTTGAAAGCTGAGTGTTTACCGAAGGCTTGAGTTTCTCTCTCTAGAATTTTTGGCAGAGCTTCGCTAAGACAGATGATCGCACAAGAAGAAAGGGCTCTGGCCTTGGGGTATTTATAGGCGATGGAATCCGGGCTTGGGCCTGGATTCCGGGCCTCCGGATGGACCGCCATCATTACACACCGCGTCTTCGCCCAACCAGTGATGCTGCCCACGGACAGCCAGCCATCGCGCGCCACGTGTCCCCCCCCCCCCACAACGGCTATATCCTGACGTTACATATTCCAACGGCTATATTTCCAATGGCTATATTCTGGAAGCCCCCGGGTTTTCTACTCCACTCCGCTATATCAAGGAGAGCCTCCGGGTACACTTACCCAGAGACGCCCCCGGGTTGTGCCCCACACAGCACATAGCAGATGCCTTCGGGATCACTCCTTCAGAAACCCAAGGCTTCATATCAGGGCACCCCTCGGGGATTCCCCCTCAGCACTGCAAAACCGGGTAGCCCCCGGGGAGTTGCCTCATTGACGGATAACCCATGGCACACAGGTAATGGGAGCCCTCGGGTATCTTCATCACCAACTAATCAACAAACAGTGGACCCCCCGGTAACAACTCCACTGCTGCCCTCATCCGGCAGGCCCTCGATCCCCGGATTGAGGGGCTCCCCTTCGGCGCCCCCAGGACATCAACAGCAAGCCTTCGGCTAATCAACACATGAGCCCTCAGAAAAGGAAGAGCCTTCGGCATTACCGTTGTTCTCCATTTTTGACCAAGGTTTCACATTTTCGATTCATCATTGGGGGAATTCGGTGCACTCTTTTTCCCTCATTAGGATTTTTTCCCCCAGGGTTTTTCCTAATGAGGTTTTTAACGAGGCATCCCCCCAAAATGAAACAAAAAGTGTCAGCCTTCGACCCACAACAGCAACGCAACTACTCTACTCCTTTTCACCACTTTACAAGTGCCTCAAGGAGTGGGGGACTGGAGGACCCCCTCGGGAAAATCATTAAATTACAAAATTAGTGAAATTCCAACAAACGACAAAGCAAGCCCTCAAGTCCCGACATGTGGGTAACTGAGGGACTGCCTTCGGCAGGGACATAAAAGCAACAACTCCTCACCAACTTCAGAGATCACGACAGGACAACATCAAAGGGCAAGCACAAATTACTCCTTTTCCCTCAAGTACCTTTCGGAAAAAGGAGTGAGGGACTCCTGATGGAGTATATGGCCCGGGAACCCCCGGCCCACAGACTCCTACTACTCCAGCGAATGCCCAACAGGCCCAGAAGGCCCAACAGGCCCAAATCACAGCGCCCAGAGTACCAAGCAGCCCGCACTACGCGCCAGGGGTGCCTTCGGCCCCCTGGCCGAAGGCTCTAAACTCTCACAGAACGGGTTTCTCAAGCAAATTAAGAAACTGGGAGAAAACGGCGAAAACAGCAGCCCTCGGCACTGTGAGCCCTCGGCACCAGGGTGCCATCGGTTGGAGGAGCCCTCGGCTACTGCTCTATAGCCGAAGGCATCTCACTCGACAAGATATCCGCCTCACATGCGTACAGATCACCGTACCCTGCACAGACGTCCCATCCAACAGCCGCATTAAATGCGGCCACATGCGGCTGCCAGCGCCAACCAGTTGAGGTGACCCCTCGGCCAATGAGCGCTTGACACGTGTCCCTGTCCGGCATTTATTGCTACTATAAATAGCACCCCATTTCCCCATTTGTAACCACGCTGAAAACGCCCCATATTTATAATACACTCTCTCTATATATATTTACTTGCTCTGACTTCTCTCTAAGTTATTCCCAGCAATAACCCTTCGGATATATACCCCCGGGTAGACTATCCATCAGATAGTCAGTTCATCATCATTAATTTGACCTAAAGCCATATGCAACTGGATGAAAAACCATTCCCAACTATCATTGTTTCCCCCCTCCACCACAACCCATGCTAGGGGATACATCTGCTCATTAGCATCTCTTCCAATGGCAGAAAGAAACATACCACCCAGAAATGTCTTTAAAAAACACCCACCCACACATAGTACTTTTCTACAACCTTCAAGCCATCCTTGTTTGACCCCATCAAAGAAAACAAATAGCCTTTGAAATACAGGTGGAAATACCCTAGCTTCTGGAACCACTTCAAGTTTGAATGTAGTGTTAGGACTTGCAAGTGACAGAGCCTGTAGATACCTCCCGAATTTGTTATAATGATCTTTCATGCTTCCATGCAATTTTCTGTGAGCAATATACTTGACTTATAAGCATAGTTCTTCTTAATAACAACCGTGTAAGCCCTCCTAACAGTTTCTATAATTTCCTTAGCTGGCCAGTGTGGTTTGGCTTTAAAAACCTCAAGAAATTGACTAGCAACCCAAGATGTTTTCAGTTGTTTATTATGTTCCATGTTTCTATGACATTTGTGATCTCCCACCAAAGATTTCACCACAAAACAGCCTCTTTTACTGTCCCAACTAGCATAAATCTTAAATGGACACCCTGGTACACATGTAGCACCTAATCTTTGTTGCCTTTTCTGGTCACTCACACTGAACATCAGATTCCTCCTTTGGGCAATAGCAAACCTGACCACTGCATCTATCAATTTTTGCCTACTTTCAAACCTAGTTCCCACTTTCCACTCCAGTATCTTGTAGTCTGTGTTTTCATCCACCACAGGAATCCTTTTCCTCCTCCTTTTCTTCAATGTTTATTGCTCTTCATCTTCCTCTGGTGTTAAAACCTCCTCATCTGTGTCTTCATACTCACTAACAATTCTAGAATCTTCCTCTATCTCTTCATCTTCCGGAACTTTATTCTTACCTTTTCTCTGACTTTGCCCAGGAAGCTTACCCTCTGCAACTTCTTTTTGAAGTTGACTTGCAATCTCAACTATCTTTACATTCCATCCCTTCACATTTTCTCTAACCCTTTGATACTCTTCATCACTGGTACCTTCATCTGATCCAACCCATCCATCCTTCATGTTCTCCCCCTCTTCACCTTGTGATATATCAGCAGCTTCCAAATCAGTGGCTGCATCATGTACTAGTTCATCTTCATCTGGTGGACTGTTTTCAAGGTCAGAGGAGTCTGATTCTTCATCCCATGTGAAAGGAGTATGTGGTGTATCACTTTCAAATGCCCTTGAATATGATGTGAAGGGTTCAGTAGTACATATGTGCTCTCCATTGGTAGTACATATTTCTGGTGAAACTTCAGCTTGAAATGTAGAGGACATCTCATCTGTTACTGCTTTGAGCTTACTTCCCCCTGGAGTCAGTCTCTTCTTCCTACTTGAGGATTTCATTTCTACAAATCCACTTTGTCCCTCATATTCAATTGCTTCAATTAAATCTGGAACGTCAATGCCATGAATGACATAACAGTCTATGCATCTGTTCTTTAACGCTAGTGCTATCAACTCCCTCACTTGTTCATCATGATAAGCCCTTTTTAAACCCTCTACATAGCTATGATTGGGAACCAAGTAGTAAATGGCATCAATTGTAGAGTAATCCCCGCACTTTTTAGCCAATTCTTCTAACCAAAACCAACAAAGATCATCTGAATCTATATCAAATGTCTTAGCTTCACCTCCCACATATTCTAGT